GAGGACGGAACAAAACCTCGTCGGAGCCGTAAGGGATAACGGTAACATAATACGCTGATCGTGGGCTGTTATTTATAAAACAAAATATCTTCTTTGGCCATATTAGCCTACTCAATAGCATTAACACAGGCTTTACTCCTTTCAAACTTTATCTGGAATATCACTGTTTCTGTCACTGCAGCTTCCCGAACAGGTGCGCGCGAAATCGTCTGCCTCATGAAAAAAATGTATTTTAAAAAATGTAGTTAATATTTGCATCATTTATGATTTATTTTATCCACCCGCGACCCACCCGCAAATAATCAGAATGCATTTTTTATTACCCAACCCGCGGATTAACAACTTCGTATGGGAAACACATCCCACAGCACAACCACCTGAGCCCAACTTCAGTCTACTCATCACCTTAACTTTAACTGCGTTTGTAGCCGGCACCATAGCCAGACTGATAAACAAACACAGACCAGAAGTTAAGTTCGGGCCAGGCGCATGCGCCCGATGAAACCGTCTATATAAAGCTTGAAGCATCAGAATCGGCATCAGTATCGGCCGATCACCATGACAAGAAATCGGTACTCAGTATCGGCTGCAAAAATCCTGATTGGAGCATCCCTAATATTTAGTTAGAAGTCAGTTTTAGTTAGATTCTATTGGATACAGAAAGATGCTCGACTTTACAGAAACATGCTTGATGTCATTTCTGCTTAGCCGTTCATCATACCAAAGTGGGAACAGTGAAGATCTGCACAGATAAGGCTGTGACTGAGATGTTCCTCTGATGGTCATCGCTGATAAAGTCTTCCTGAAGTTGCTTGTAGTGCTGCAACATGACATACTCCTGTTAGTACTCAAACATTAGAATGATGTATACGTATGTGAAATGATATGCAGCTGTAAAATGATACCTCTGTGAATTTCATGGCAAACTGCCTCTTGAATTCTGTGTCCATCAGTAAACTACTGAAAATTAACTCGTGGACAACCTTGCGAGCTCCTGAGGAGAGTAACAGGAAATCAGGTTTAGATACAGCACTAAGACTATTTTACCGGATTTAAAAATGTCTGTAGGGTATTAAAAGTGCATAATCTAATGGTAGAGATTGAAATATTGACCTTTATAAAGTTTGGCGTCGTGCAGCATGAGTCGACTGATCAGGCAGAGCTGATTGTTGTCAGCGGCCGGCTCCAAAGCCACCTGGCAGAATACCTCCCTGAGGCCAACTACACAACCAGTGACAAGGACAAAACCTCAAAATTATTTATGTGTTACTTAATTTGATATATATTAATTTGACCAGTAGAAACAGCAATATCATGAAATATTATTGCAATTGAAAATAACTTTTTAATATGTAATTTATTGCTTTGCTGGAAAAACAGAATTTCTCTCTCTTTTTTTAAATGAACCTTTCCTGATTTCTTATCACACTACCATTCTAAAGTTTGAGGTAAGATAGATAGATAGATATATATATATATATACACATTTTATATATATATATATATATAT